ACGAAAGCAATCTTACTTTAGTCACTTATCTTGAATGTCAAAATGTTTATGTTACAATAAGGAAGACAAGCAGCCAATTTCAGAGATAAATTAAGTCCCTAATAGAATTTTTCAGTAAGCTGTATGCACATACTTTTTAGAAGAACTTTCAAATCCACTCTATCTCGTAAAAATTTTGGAAAACTGGAACAGCAGCCTTAAGAGACAATAAATGATGCAAATACTAAGAATCAACTTGAACATTACTAATTCCAAAAATGATCCACTGTGGAAAAAAAAACACAATCCATTCTGAATAACCATTTGTATAAAACAAGGCATTCTTGTTGTGCTTTAAAAAAAAAAAAACATTTCTTAGTCAAAAATCATTATCAACGTTTTCAAAAAATTACTTAATTCCAAGAGGAAAATGGAGCAGTGATACTGTCATTTTCCTCCCCTACTGTCAACTTTTCGATTTCATTTCAACCACCCATTATGGAAAACAGGCAACATTTTAAAGTTTGTCTGAACTGATTAATTTTCCATAAAATTAACATTTGACTTCCAAAAGTTAATTGAGAATACACTTCATTCTTGTTACTAATCAGAATCCAAACTGAAAACAAGTATATTCATTAAAAAAATGTTACTAATGGAAACATAAGACCTTTACTACAGGAGCAGGGAGAAAGGTTTTTATTGAAAAATTTAAAGGGCAAAATATTGGCATAGTACATCACCACCCACAACCTTATACAATGAGAGCCTATAGTAACCAGGGCATTATAGTCTAGAGTTCACATACACTGACTGAGCTAGTTTTGTTTCTATCTAGTTCCTAACACAGATATATTTCTTGATAATATAACTGAATTGAGCACTTACTCATGTTTTTACTGTGTACCTTATTTTAGACACACTGACAATCTGATTAACTTTTTCTGAGAACTTTAGTTTCTGTAATTCATTAGGACAGCTAAACACATGATCCCTCACCCCCAAATTATTATAGTGAGTTTTTGGTTTCATCATCATGATATATTTAACCTACTTAAAGTGGGTTACATTAAATGTAATCCCTAATTTAACTCTGATCTTTCTCCTACAAATATTGGTTGAGATGACATTTTCTCAAGCCAATCTTTTAATGATCAGTATTGATATGAATAAATTATTCTAGAATTCAAAAGGTTTCTTGATTGATGCTTTCTCATCAGAACTGTTCAAAAATATATTCCACACAAACTTGCTGGGGGGAAAAAAAAATCACAAGCATTACATTATATCCACTGGAGGGCACTCAACATGACCAAAGCATGCAATGAAAACATGCCCCAACACTACTCTCACTCTGCAGCTGCATCGGGTTTGAGGGAGACTCTGGGGCGTGGGGAATGTCTCTTAAAAGAAGAGATGAGGGGCGCCTGGGTGGCTCAGTCGTTAAGCGTCTGCCTTTGGCTCAGGTCATGATCCCAAGGTCCTGGGATGGAGCCCCGCATCAGGCTCCCTGCAAAGCAGGAAGCCTGCTTCTCCCTCTCCCACTCCCCCTGCTTGTGTTCCCTCTCTTGCTGTCTCTCTGTCAAATAAATAAATAAAATCTTTAAAAAGATGCCCACAATTAAATTCAAAAAGGCAGTTAAACTCTAAAAAAAGGGTTCCTAATGTAACTGACTTTCTCTGTTACAAGAGCATCTTTCTTTAGGGAAAGTAGATTTTATACATACTTTTAAGGATAACAGGGTTCAGGCCTCAACGGATCTGGGTTTCAAACTGAGTCAAGCTCTGTCTTGCATGAAACACAAAAACACAAGCAGCATTCCTAAGTAAACAGAGGAAATAAAGAACTTTCTCCTGAGTTTAAATGATGAAAAACTATACGAGTTAATTCCTACTCATTTCAAGCAACACAAATCACGTATTTTCTCTTCATGGAACCTGAGAAGTATATATTTATTTTAGCCTATTAGCCTAGTTATCTATCACACAATTAGAACGCATTACATAAACAATGGTCTGTTAAAGAAGGAGAACTGATTCTGCAAATCAGTATCCTCTATATGAGGGCACAGGAGGCAACAGCTACATGCTCTAGAATAATCACGAAGCAGTTCCTAATCTATGTTTACTATTTACTTTTATGGTATAAAAATGTTTTTAGTCAAGCTATTTCAACAGAAGATATCATATTCCCAACAAGAAAAGAGCTGCAAGAAAAACTTAATACAACTAATGTTTTCAAAAACAATGTCCCAAGTCAATATGAAGCACTACACAAGAGTTGCAATACTTTTAATTAGAAGTTTGTCCTACACAAAAAGCATTCACCCCTTCCACCCTGGGTTAGCAATCAAGAATACTTCCAACCAAGCTCAAAGTACAAACTTAAAAAATTTACCACCTACTCATCTGCAATTATCAACAACTAGTAAACTATGAAAGAGAAACAAAATCATGTTGTAACTGGACAGACGTATTCTTTCATTTGAATAACACAAAAGTTTCATTTGGCTGAATATACTTAGTCCATTTTGGGGGGTTATAATTTCACTGCTACTTACAACTATAAGAAAGATATTCAAACTTTTTAATTATCCACATCCCCAGTTTCAACAATATTTATACTCCTCTTGCCACCCTCCCAACAAAAAAGGGTATCTGCACATAGTTTATGTTAAGTGCTACATCTTAAAATACCCTTTGAGAAATTTGCCTACTTCATGTCTTCCCTTCCTATTTGGAGAGGGAAGTATCTATGAAAACAAGCACACACAAAAACTTCATATATATGAACAATTTTCATTCTAGTCATGATTAGTAACAGTACGAAGCTCAATTCAGTTTGATGAGTTTTAATATTGGAATATACATTTACTCTACATAATAATCTTAGCAAAGGATAACTAATAATTAGTTCAAAAGAAAGAAAACTCTTGAATACTTGACACTGAACACTGGTAAATGTTTTACTTTTTTATTAACCGCCTTATTTTAAAAACATAGTTTTCCCTGAAAGCTATTTAAAATGACTGTTCCAGCCTCTGGGAGAGTCTCAAGCTTAGGACTCCACAAGGACTCTAAGTTGCACGCTATACTAAACTTCCTAGTGCATTTTTTCCCCCTCAAGGACTTCAGGCTTGAATAGTCTCAGCATTCCTTTAATCCTATAGAATAGTCTTCTGCAAGTTTTTCAAGTTACTGTTGCAATCACTTTAGGGCCTTGTCCTTGTACATGGCCTTCAGAACAAAGACTGGGTCAAAGTAATGAATATTGGGTGCAAATTAAGCAAATTTTGAGAAACGATATTCTCCAGTAAACCTTAATGGTTCTTTTTTTTTAATCCAGAGAATGTGAAAGTAAAATAAATACTGCAGCAGCCTCAGTTTAGACCCAAAACAAAGTCTCCAAAGTAAAAGTTTATGTCACTAATTTAAGCAGATAGTTAACGGTAGCGTTATGTAAAGACATTTCAAGCTATGTCTACTATTTTGTAGGATAAAAACAAGTTAACACGAAGATATCTGAAGGTCCTGAATGTTCACCAACTGACAATAATGAAATGGCTTCCTAAATTACACACAAAATACGTTGTAACTTCAGCGATCTGAAAAACATTAGCCTAGACTTTTCAAAGGATAGCCGTCTCTTCAACTTGATGTCTAGTCTAAGCCACCACTATTCATGATACAAAGCTCTCATTTCACTAAAACCACTCCTCGATTTCCTTTTGCCGACCTCTGCATACCAGCAGGCCAGTCTCTCTTCATTCACCACTCACAAACTCAGGGGGGAGGGGAGACCACAGATGTCTGGAAGATAGAAAGTATGGAGACAATGCTCCCTCCAAAAGGGAACTGAAAACGAAGGAAACAACTACACCCAGCTGCCAAAGCTTTTAAGTTTCGCGGATTCAGAAGGAGGCTTTGAGAACTTTCAGTCTCTGTTCAAAATCCTCTCCCTAGACAAAACACTGAAAGAAGTTGCAATTATTTGGTCAATTTCGTAGCGAGGAAACAATTCACTCTGCTGAAAAGAAAACGTGCTCTAAAAATCATGTTTATCTGCCCTAAAAGTATTTGAATAAATCATTTCTACCAACAAGATTCTCGAAGCACTCAGGAGCTGAATCCCGCCGTTCACTTGATAAGAAACAGTAAGCCAGTCGCCCTGGCCCCCGCCCCTATTTTTACTAGGGTCTCACACCCACCGCCATAAATCCAAGACTCCCCGTACGTTGCATGCCGCTTTCACTCACCTGCACGGTACAAGATATAGGTGCAGGACACGGATTTATATGTGCAAACCCTACTGACGCATCGCACCGTCTGCACTAGTAGTTTGGTTCCTCTAAGGTTTAAAGTTGCTTGGGTCTAAACAAGCGCCAGTGCCAAACTCACGTAAGCGTGGCATTAAAAACAAAAAACAATTCTCTTAAGAATTCTCTTAATTCGTCCTTAAGAACGAAAGAGGGAATCTGAACAGAAAGTCTACTGGCCCTATCGACCCGGCAGATGGGACCTGGGTGGCGTCCCAGGCCCAGCGTCCGTACCCCAACTCCCCGCTGGGGCTGGGAAGGCGGAGCCCCCCCCCCCCCCCCCCCCCCCCCCCCCCCCCCCGGCCCGGAGCATCCCGAGGCACAGGGTCCCTCCCCCAAACTCGGCCGCGGCCGGAGCCCCGGACGGAAACCACAGCCTCCCCCGCGACCGCCCCCACCGGCCATCGAGCTCCTGGACGCACCCTCGCGTCGCCCCCTCCCCGCCAGCGGCGCCCCCGGGGCCCCGAGGAGCAGCGCAACCGGAACCCGGGCCCGGACGCCGCCCTCCGCCCCCCGGGCGCGGCCCGCCCCCGCCGCCTCCTCGGCGCCCCCAGCCCGCACCCCCCCGCTCCCCACCCCGGGCCTCCGCGCCGCGCCGGGCCCGGCTCCCAGCCGCCGCCGGGACCGCGCGCCCGCGACGAAGTTTGGCTCCGAAGAGGGAGCGGGAGCAGCCCCGGAAGGGTAAGGAAAGGAGCGCCCAAGCACCTCAGGGGAACAGGCTCCTCCCGCCGCTGGAGTCCGACCGTCCTCGGCCTGCGGTGGCGGCTCGGCGGGGACTGGAGCTGCTCCTCGGACCTTCCTCCGTCTCCGCCTCCCCTCGCTCTCTGCTTCTAGGGCCGAGCTAGCGCAGCTGCCACAGACCGAGAGGCTTAAAATGGCGCCGCACAAGGAGCTCTTATAAGTCGCGCAGTGGCCGCTGTATCCTGCCGCCACCGGCGCAGCGCGGAGCGTTCCGCCGCGCGAGGACAAGGGGCGGGGCGTGGACGAGCGGCGGAAAGTAGTCCCCGCACCACCCAGCGCCCGCTGCCGTCCGACCGCCCCGGGCAGGGGCGGGGCGCCCGCTCGCTCCCCGGCCGCTCCCCGAGGGAGATCCTGGAGGGTGTCTTGCCGCGCTGCTCTGGGGGGCGGCCCGCGAGGGTGTCGTGGTCCGAGGCGGGGAGGCCCGGGCCCCTGCAGGCCAGGGCTTGAGGGAGGGCGCACCCGGAGCCTCCACTGTCCGGAGCCCCCACTGTCCGGAGCCCGGCGCCCCCACCCCGTGCGGGCCCCGGCGGTGAGAGCGGACGCGGGCTTGCCGCGCTTCCCGCTGCCTGCGGGCGGCGGCCTCTCGTCCCCGGCTCTCTTGGGCGGGGGGGGGGGGGGTGGGGGGGGGAAAGCGGTGGCGCGGGAGCTGAGGCCGGGGCCCGCCCGCTCCGGGCGCTGTTGGGCGCCGCAGCCGCAGCCGCCCGGCTGTCGGGTCCGGGAACTCCCGCGGGTTAGGGCTTCCGCGGTCGTTGCGGTCTGGGCCTCGCACTCCCCTCAGGACCTGGCTCGCGGGCGAGCCGCACACCGCTCCAAAGCCCCCCACTGTCCGGGTCGTGGATCCCGCATCCCGACCCGTTGCTCAGCCTGAATCTGGAAGTGAACCGCCGGGCCGCCTGCGATTCCCCCCTCCCGAAGGCTGTGAACTCTCTTAGAATGGGCGCCTAGTGCGCAATTCAACAAGTCCTCAGGAGTACGCACTGTGAACAAATGACTGATGGAAATGGATTAGCTCTAGAGCCCTGTCAATTAGGTTAATTCTTATAGATTCCATTTTTATCTGGTTCTACAGTGCTACTAACTATCAATAGATTTACTTGTGGGGATGTTTCTTTGGACGAAATGCATTTCTAAGGTAATACTTTCTTGAGAAATCGATTATGTTGTTTATAGAAGGAATTATCAATTAGGCAGCTTGTGATTTTTTTAAAATTAATTTTCCATTCCTCAAAAACATTTTTTAATTCGTCTTAATAGGCTGAAGGTCTCCATTTCCCTTGGAAATGTTTCGATTGTCATCCATCAAGATTGGCATTTATTTGTCAAAGCTGAAACAATTACGATTGATTCAGTTTCTCTAGTCTATTGTTTTATGCTTATTTTTCCTCCAAAACAATGGAGAGTGCAAAAAGCAACAGTGAAAGTTGTCTTGAGGCTTTTATCCCTATAATTAATGCATGCAAACAATAGGTCTTTTTACATAGGTAAGAGCAGGAAACCTACTTACTCACTATTCACTCATGGAGTAGAATATGTAGTTTTAGGCAAGCTAATGCTTCAGGGCCAACATGTTCTTTAGATAATTGTGGTTCCCCCCCCACACACACACACACGTCTTAAAGATATTTTGCTACATACAGTGGTAACATTTAACTGCTATGACCATACCAGTGGAAAAAGTACACACACTAAGATGATGTTCGGTGAGATCCGTTGTCTAGGGTTACTTCCTCATTTGTATCTTTGCTAGTAATTCTGTAGAATTAAATAAACCAATGGTAGTGATTAACTCTGCTAGTCAGAATTCAAACACATTATACTGAAAAAGTTATTTCATCAAAGCAGTATTTCCCATATAAACTCAAAAGTGTAAATAGCATTTCCAGGCACTGACCCCCAATTTTAATCCTCATATATAGTATTAAAGAATATACAGTTGATTTGATTAGAGTCACATTTAAAATCAGATGACTGATTAATCAATATTTGAGGAATTTTTTATGGATGTCTCCTTTTTCTATCTTCAGTTTTTGTGGTGTTTTTGTTTTTGTTTTTCTTTCCTAGTAAGACACTGTTAAAACTGGTTAAGACATATTTGCACCATTTGAACATCTAAGGGATAAAAACTATTCTACGTTTGTATTTCTTTATTCAGATGCCGAAATAAAATGGAAGCATTTTCTATCACTTATATCTTAATCTAAATTTGGAATTAAGATTTTTAAATCCCTGCTAATGCTTTAAGCAAACACAATGTTATTAAAGGAGATGTAAAATTCACAACAATGCAGTAAGCTGTTTTTCCCATCAAATTTAAGTGTACTGAAGACTTCCTGGGTGACTAGCATTAAAAAAAATTTTTGTTGAATTTAACAGATTGCTCAGAATTTCCTTATTTCTTCTCTCAAACAACAGAAATTGTTCCAGTTGTCTCACCAAAAATATGACACAAATAACTTCTGAGAAATGAAGATAAATGCTCCCATTAAACCAAGGAGAAATACAAGCATCAAAATACCTGATGAACTGGTGAAATAAGTGGTTTTGTAAAAATGATTTTTCAAAACTGACCTCGGGCAGTATGTTTCATAAAAAAACACTTGGTTATTTTTTTACACCTTTTTCTCCTAGAGCTGGCCATTTGGGTATGACATAAATTAATCCAAGTTAGTGCAAAAAATGGCATTAAACAAACAAGCAAACAAACAAAAAAACTGCAAAAGACAAATGGTTCTAAATTTCAGGCTCTGTGCCTAGAAACCCCAAGTGTCTCCAGCTGGTTTAATAGAGGAAGTATTACTTGTCATGATACTAGACCATTGCCATATCAGCAGTGACTACATGGAACCTGAATGTAAAGTGCCCTTCACTAAAACACATGCTTTTGAATCACCTTTAGGCAAATAAATAAATGCCCAGATTGTTTGAGCACTTTCAAAAGAAACATTAATCAAGTCAGCACTGTAAAGAAGGCCCGTTCACTTTTTGGATAGTTAACTATCAAATCCATTAATTAAACATTTATTGAGCACTAAGACAATGAGCTTCCTTTAGAGAGAGGGAAGCGAGTGACTGGCTTCTTTTGATGAGGTCCCTTAAATTAATGTATAATTGTAGCTGTTAATCAATCCGACTTAAAGTAAACAGACAGTAAGAATAAGAGCCGTCAGACGAGGGTGTGGTCTCATCTGGACTCTGTATCTGAATCTCCTTGGGAAGAAACCTCACCCAGCAGAAAGGTAAGACTAATAACATTCCATGCACTTAGAAAAAATAAGTCCCAATTTCCCTAAGAAGGTCTGTTAAAAATATTTCTTTCTGTCAAAGTGAAAACATTGGACAAAAATCAGATCAGCTTTTCATTTAGCAGCTCATCAAGTGGGCTATTTATGGATTGGGACTTTTGATTTGCAATACCTCATCTCAGGGTTCAGTGTTATCTTTTGATTTCTTTCCAGCTGAACAGGCTAAGTAGTTGTAAATACCTCTTGTCAGCCTACATGGTTGGCTATTCTCGCTCACAGAAGTAATCTAGGAACCCACTGGGCAAATTCAGGCGGAGAGCCCCTGTGGAAAGCTTGCATCTGGTGTGCACTGCAGAGCGAGGGAGGGGTGGTGAAGGTGGTGGGAGGCAATGGCCATGGTGGTGGCCGAGGCAGCGGCAGTGGTAACTATGATCATGGCGGCTTCACTTATGCCAGGAACAGGCTTCCTGCTTGGAGTTACATGTTCTCGAGGCCTTCCTTGGCTTGACACAACAGTCCTTGCCATACTCAGGAAGCACATTTAATGGCCACCATAGAAAGTGTGAAGGAAAAGCGATGGAGACATCATCCATGATATTCAAAGAACACAAAGGTATATGTTTCTCAGTGTTTCTAAGAATTAACACAAATAAGGCTGCATTGCAAAGAAATCACGCTTTGGAGACATACTCCCCCCCCCCCC